TCTACCCTGACACCGACTATAGTTGCTTCGATACCTACCTCATCTGGACAGCCTCCTATATCAAATCCATTGTTACATGAGGAGGGAGTGACACAAGAGCCTACAGTTGTAGGTGTAGGCCTTGTGCGAGCCAGGCCGTGGGTTAGAGGTGGACGACAAGGTCAGGGACGAGGGCAAAGAAGAGGGTGTGCACAACATGCACATCATCACAATGATGTCGGTGTGTCACAGGTGACACAGGTTGTACCCCAGGATGATAAACATGAGGTTTGTAGACAGTCGAAGCGACGTAGGCGACCACCTGCGTGTGGGACATGATGTTCATGTATTTGTTGGCTTTTTTTTTGTTCTACACTGCACAAGTTTTTTTTTTTGTACATAGATTGTCAATTGCACAATCATGTTTTGTTATAGTATTCTTCAATCAAATAACATGATCTGGAGAAAAGAACACTAACATACAACTTCTTCACACAATAGTAAAATAATATTTCTACCCACAAATACTAACATAACACTTATTCCACATCACTACCATAACACTTTTCTACAGAATACAACACTAACTTAACACTTATCCATACAATACCGACTAGAAATTTTATCACACAACACTAACATCACAGTTCTTCACACAACATATTTCATGGGTCAACATCTTCGTCGGACATCTCGACATCAGAAATACATCCAACTTCAAAACTTAGAAGCCAACTTATACGTGTTTCTTCCATTAACCCTTCTTTAGCACGTTCTCGTGCGATGCGACTGAGGTTGTAATGATTAAGACGAATTGTCATGAGATTGTTCTTAGCACGAAAACGATACAATGCTCACTCTAGTTGTTGAGATGTCTCAACTGGCATATGGATGACAATTTTTCAAGACTTTCATAAATTGCAAGTTTGCATATATCCAATAAGATTTTCTCGCTCTGTCAGACGATATTGTAATTTGGCCCTCATGGTTCTTATGACATTGCTAGAATAACGTAAAACAAGGATTCATTGGATAAAAAAATCTTTCTCTAAGGCCCAATGATAACCCATATTTTTATATAAAGTTCTAACACTATAATTCATGTTAAAAATAAATTTTCTTCACTTCCTTGCTTAAAGACGGTGAATATATAGTGAGTAAACAAATCTCCCAACAACTGACCATATCAATACAAATACTGTTTTGAAGTGACAACTAACTGCACTATCATAATATTGAAGAAGAAAAAGTGACTACGCATGACTACTTAATGTCATGTGTTGAAGTGATTACACCCTGAATGGATTTCAGCAGACCATGTGGTGAAATGACAAAACCAGGAATGATTTTCAACATACCATGGGCTGAACTAACTTAACCCTTAATGAGTTTATGTATACCAAGTGTTGAAGTGACAACACACATTTGATGATCCAAAAGATTGACATGACCTTACACTTGTTTGATGAATGACTATACCATATATGACCTCTAATCACTACACTATTTTACTTTTGACTGATATGACCCGTCTAACACAGTAGGGTTGGGACACTACTATTTAAACACCATTTTACCGTTGATATGACAAACACAACATTATGTTTACATCAAATTTCTCTACGAGCTTTAACAATCGCAGACGTGAACGGGTTTGGTTATTATAAGAGCGGAACGATGATTACAAGAATGAGAGAATTTTCAATCCAAAAGAGTATGATGCAGGAGTACGACTAGAGTGGACTTTTCGTACTAAAGAATCAAACGAACTATTTACACAACTAAGAGAACTTGACATACTAGTGCCTCATAAACGATCACTAACAATGCAACGCCGGAATAGAGAGGATTACGAATCAGCAATAAAACAAGTTCGAAGAGAGAATAATAGAATACTGGTTCGTAGGTCTCGCTATTATATGGTCCAACAAGCAAAATACATTATGGGAATTACACATGGACGAGAGTTGGCACCAGTTGAGCAAAACAATATATTGTCTAATGCATAGTACATGTCAGATGATTATATGTCTGATGAAGCTTAACAAAGTCTACAGTTTTGCTTGATTCGTGAGATAGCAAGAATTTCTAACTAGTATAGTGTCAAGTCATGTCAGTCATTTGTATTTCAATTGTTGTGTATTTACTTTGTCATTGTGAACTCATTTCATTGTTTTGTTAGTGTAGTCAGTCTAGTGACAAGTCATGTCAATCCTGCTTTATCAGTATAGTCAGTCTCGTGATAAGTCATGTCAGTCATTTTGTCATTCACGAGGTATGTCAATATTTTATCAGTGTGGAGTCATATCATTGCTTTATTAGTGTGTCTTCATTTTACTGACAAGTTATGTCAGTCATTTTGTCATTCACGAGTTATGTCATTACTTTATCAGTGTGGAGTCATATCATTACTTTAACTGTGTTAAGTCATGATACTCATATCCAGTAATTGTCCTGTCAAATTTATATATAATTGTATTTCGTGTCTATATAAACCATCCTTATTCATTGTGTACATCATCACCCTAAATATGTCTAAATGCACATCTAAGAGGCAATCCAATCAAACCACCCAAGGTTCTTCAACACACAATGAACAACAAAGTTCATATTCACCCTACGAACGTCAACGCTCAATTGGCTGAGCAACATGTGGTCTAGATGTAGTTCATTCAATTGAATCTTACACAGATTCTACCGGTGTAACTTGGTATGGACAAAAGCGTGAGTTCTGTAATGAGCTCATCGACCCTTATCACTCACTCGATCAAGTTGGACACGTATTTGTAGGGCCTGCGACCGACTCTCTGCCTCCGAGTGTTTGTATCGAACCCCACGCCAAGATGACGACAATTATATGACAAACGTTGTGAAATTGAAGTATTATATCGTTGACATGGATTAATGGTACCGAAGGCACGTTTGGCTGATATATATGATCCACAAAACTCTATCAACCATAACGAGATCATAGCAAGGCTTGAGCGTGAAAATAATCAAATGAAGCGTAGACTTGATCGTTTACATGCAATCGACCATATAAAAATTGAGCATTTCGATCCTGATTATGCTGAGATTCAAATTTTACAAGATCCATTACTTGTTTCTGATATAGAACTTTCTGATTATTCTGATTTAAGTGATGATGCGTCTGCCACTTTTATTCCATTGAGTTTATGTGTAGTAAGCAACCCTCTATGTTGTTTTCTACATCAACCAAAATATTGACAAATTGTATTTCTTACAGTGTTATGTAATAAATTTGTTTTCTTTAATGTATAAGTATCTTTTTCTATTTTTTTAAGTTTTGCACACTTTTGTAGGCCAACTATAAATGTTCGATGAACTTATAACATAAAATTGTAATACATAATTTTTTAACATATATAATACAAATTTCTAAAAAAAAATGTTTTTAAAAACGTCATTTAAAGTGACGTTTTACAAAAAAAACTAAGTTTGTGAAATAAAGTTTTAGGATCGACTGGGTTTGGGGAAAAGCTTCTCTAGATTGAGATGTTTTTATGACGTGGGAAGTGAGATTATAATATTGAGATTTTTTTTAATTAATTTATGTGCACATCAACTAAAATGAGTGATGACTAAAATATAATTTCTTATTTACATTTTCTCTTTTTCGGATACTATGTGTAATGCGATTGAACTTCGAGCAATGATAATATGTTCTTATTAAAATGAGGAAACGCTATGGTACCATCAGTGGTATCGTATCGAAAATTACAACTTTTTAAGGTAAAGTTGTAATTTTTTCGAGGTGTAAGTTACAATTTAAAAATAGCATGATCGATCATAAAATGTTGAATTCATACTGAGAGTTCATGATCAGGAGTGTCTGCAACTTAATAAAACACGGGTTAAAACATGAGTTAAATACATACTTTTTGATATAGAAGTGTGATTTCAAAACATGCTTTTAAGTTTTTTAATTAAATATATGTTTTACAAATACGTTTTTATATTGAAAAATATGAAATTAAATTATGCTTTTGTGAATTTTATTTTCAATTATAAAATATGTTCAAAATTATTATGAAAAGGGAATTATATTCTAAAATTTATTTAATTTTTTTTTATTTGCTGAATTATTATGTGAGACATAAGGTGGAGTTATTAACTTTAATGAATTTTATTACAAGTTGGTTGTTGGAAGAAAACGTCATTGTAAAAAGTTACGGGGTAAAAAATATCATTGTTTTGAATGACGTTTTCATCCATATTGTAATTTTTAACGTCTATTACTATTGTTTAAAAAATTATATTTAAAAACGATATTCTGAATAACGATTTCAAAAACGTTATTAGTAATGACGTTTTTCACGAAAAAAAATTTCAACTTCAAATTGTCATTTCAAATGACATTTTTACATCTAAAGACATAATTTCAAATGACGTTTTTAAAAAAAGACAAGTTTGAGAATTAAGTTTAAAAGTGACTGAATTATGAAATTAAGTTTTGAGGGGAGTTGAGTTTCAGAAAAACCTTGTAAATAGAATGTCTTGACTAATCCCGCTAGTTATGGGATTTGAGCTGCTAAATATATAACAATCAATTCTCTAATACATGTAATTTGATTGGCCATCTCTTTCTATATACATAAGATGACGTCGTGAATAAATAAGAAAGAGTTTTTAACCATTCTTTACACATTCCATAACACAGTCGTGCTGTTATTTTTTTTAGGGGCAGAAATCATAAAACACAAAAAAAAGGCCTTGCCATTGTAAATCACGCCACACCAAAAACAGCATGCTATTTATTGTTGTCAGGTCCACAAAACTCCACACTTGGCCTTCACTTTTCACACCACACTCGGGAGTGTATCTTTCAAGCTCAACACCTCGAGAAAATACTCAGTACTTATCACGGAAAGACCTATACTCGCCCCATTTCCTCCATACCCACATCGTTCTCATCAAAAATTCGTCACCTCCGCCTCCCCTCCATCCATCCCTCTCTCTCTCTCTCTCTCTCTCCCCCCCCCCCCCCCCCCCCCCAAATACACACACACTTCAATGTATCCTACAGCTTGCCTCTCTCCCTTTCAGACACACTCTTTCTCCACCACCATGCAAGCCCTTCAATCCCCAGCTCTCCGAGTCTCGCCACTCGACCCACTTCGCAAACAGTCCCCAAATCTCACTACCACCAGCACCAATAGAGTCTCATTCATCTCAGCTTCAATCCAACCCATGACAACCGCACCTCCCAAACGAGAGAAGGACCCCAAGAAAAGGGTGGTCATCACAGGAATGGGCTTGGTTTCTGTCTTTGGCAACGACGTTAATGCGTACTACGACAAACTACTCAGTGGCGAAAGCGGTATTACATCCATTGATCGATTCGATGCGTCCAAATTTCCCACCAGATTTGGTGGGCAGATTCGTGGGTTCAGCTCAGATGGTTACATTGACGGGAAAAATGATAGGAGGCTTGATGATTGTTTGAGGTATTGCATTGTTGCTGGCAAGAAAGCGCTTGAAGATGCCGATCTAGGTGGCGATAAACGTTCCAAGGTTTGTGAATTTAGTATGTTGTGTCTTTGGTTTGTGTCTGATTGTTGATTAATCGTTAATGCTTGGCAGCAGATTAGATTTCAGTTTTTGGTGTTTTTGTTAGTTTGATTGAATTGGATTTGTGTGATTTATGTTTTTTTTCTTTTTTGTGTTCAATTTTAGAATATTTTTAGCGAAGACAAACAATTTTGGAATTTATTTTGAGTTTATGGGTTTTGCGTTGGATCTGGAGTATAGGGAAGTTTTGTTTTGTATTTTTAATTGTTAGCTTGGATTTTATTTTTGATTGTATAATGAAAAGTTGATGCTTTACTGATTTGTGGGGGGAATGATCATGCATGACCGAGATGATTCAGTTGATTGTGTTCAATTTGGGTTCTTTCTGGAAAATATTGAACATGCATTGGCAGAACTGTTTGGGTTTGAATTTTCTCATGTTTGTGATGAAAATATGTGTTCCTAGTATATATCTCCTAAATAAGTTGGGTAAAATACACTTTTAGTTCCCAAAGTATGGTTTTAGTTTCTATTTGGTCCCTAAGGTTCCTAATTTGTATCTATGTGGTCCAATCTCAAATGTCCATCAAAAAATTGTTAACGCGCAATCACGTGGTATCAAATAGACACAGATTAGGAACTTTAGGGACCAAATAGACACAAAATTAGGTATCACGTGATTGGCGACCAAAACTATCACAATTTCTGTCGGACGTTTGAGATTGGACCACGTAAATACAAATTAGGTAGATACAAATTAGGAACCTTAGGAACTAAAAAGACACATTGGAAGATTGGGAACCAAATAGACATTAAATGCATACTTTGGGGACTAAAAGTGTATTTTACCCAAATAAGTTTGGTTGCAACATATATTTATACAAGATGATTTTAAATTGTTGAGTGTATCTGCAGTTTTAACTCAACTAACCCAGAAACTAATTGGAAAATTCACTTTGAGCTGGCCCATGAAGATGGTCTCAACATGAGTTCCATGAATTTTACTGCTAGAGTTGTGCTGATTATTTTTTTTAAAAAAATTTCTGATACATAGGATGTCAGTGGCTGGGACTGCTAATTTTATGATTAGAATAGAAACTCCTGATTCAGTACCTGCTTATGATTGATAAAATTTGGAATACCCACCTTTTATGGTCTATGTTACGGGAATTTCCTCCAATAGAGACTTGGTGGAATGTCTTTCAACTATGGCCGACAATCTGTAACATGTTCAGTCAGTGGAAAAGACAAGTTTCAGAAGCAGCTTGAGGAAGAATTAGCCGACACCTTCACCAACTTTTCTGTATTCACCTACCTCTGTCTTATCCAATTGATACAAAATCAAAGATCTTTATTTTCCTAGGCAGAGGAGAATTGCAAATATAACTTTTTTTTTAACGCGGAGGGATGGAGTGGTATGCGCCACGATTGGTGATACAGGACAAAACATGTTCTTATGCCACTTTTATGAAGACTCTAGGAATTGAGATAATCTGAAAGCTTAAGGAAATAATGAACTCCTTCCCAGTATTTAAGCAAAATGGAGACAAATTTGTCTTTCTCAGCCCCGTCTCATTTATTGAATCTTGTTGGAAGTTACTGCTGAGAGCAATACAAGAAAATTCTGATTTATGGTAGGTATGCATGTTCATGCCATCAAAGACTTCTCCCCCCTTCCCTTCTGTCATCTTATGATTTCTAGGTGGTAGCTTCTGGCAACTTGAATATCTTTGCATAACTAAGAATTAAATGTTTTTTTTTTAACTCAATTAAATGGTACATGAAATGAGATGAACTTCTCCCTAATTCTTAGCTTGACCAATAATTCCATAACTCTAACGATCCTGGCAGGGTGATGTGTGCCCTTAAGCTCTTAGTACCTATTTTTGTGAAAACAACGGAAAGGAAAAAGAAAAAACAATGGAAAAGCAGTGGGCAAGCTTCACTCAGAAAATAAATATACATATATAACCCGACTGTGTTGGGAAAGAACGCTAAAGACCTGACCAAGACTGTTGGAAGTTCATATTAAATTAAAATAACTAAATGTAGAACTCCTATAGTAAATATTTACTGGGTGTATGTTCTTGATGATATTTTCCTGTGATGTATGATTACATTAATTTCTTTGGCTTGATATGGATATAGATGTTTCATGGATTCCTCAATACACACACACACATATATTATGGCTTTATATGTACCATTGTTTTCCATGACATATATTCTATCTGTTTCATACTTGATATAACAACCGTATTGTGATGCTTATCACCGAAGTCATTTTCCTCTTGTGCTCTTTTGCAGATTGATAAGGAGCGGGCTGGTGTGCTTGTTGGGACAGGAATGGGTGGTCTTACAGTTTTCTCTGATGGTGTTCAGGCTCTCATAGAGAGAGGTTACAGAAAAATCACACCATTTTTTATACCTTATGCTATCACAAACATGGGTTCTGCCTTGCTTGCAATTGATCTTGGTTTTATGGGACCAAACTATTCCATTTCAACTGCTTGTGCTACCTCCAACTACTGCTTCTATGCTGCTGCCAATCACATCCGTCGAGGTGAGGCTGATATGATGGTTGCTGGTGGAACTGAAGCAGCCATTATTCCTATTGGATTGGGAGGCTTTGTTGCATGCAGAGCTTTGTCTCAGAGAAATGATGATCCACAAACTGCTTCTAGGCCATGGGACAAAGATCGAGATGGTTTTGTGATGGGGGAAGGAGCAGGAGTTTTGGTAAGTTTCCTTCTACTTTTGATTTTATATCAATCTACCATATACATCTTAGTTTCTATGTTGGCATCACCATAAACTAAAGTTATGCTGGATTGCATATAACACGGGCGTATGGGCGATGAAGAAACTTAATACATTGAGAGTATGCATAATGAATTGTTGATTGGTCCTTTATGTTGTGCCTCAGATCATATTTTGACAAATCTGCTTCCATTATTTGTTGTATATGTACTCTATAATGGAAAATGCCAACGAAAACTGTAGACGATTTTTGGGCTGAGCGCAGATATAGATATGTACTATTACAACCTTTAGTTGAAAACAAACAAAAAAGTTTTCTTTGATATTTAATTTATTTATTTATTTGGTTGCTGGATTATTCTGAATCTCGTAACTGAGGCCATGCATAAACAACACTCCCTCTTTCCTCAAACCCTTTCTCTTTGAAGTGTGTGGCAATAGTGATATGAGGTTTTAGACCATGATATGAGTCTTCAACTTTCTTTGACAGTTTTCTTAACTCTTAAGTAGGTGATGGAAAGCTTGGAACATGCAATGAAAAGAAATGCACCAATAATTGCCGAGTACCTGGGAGGTGCAGTAAATTGTGACGCTCATCATATGACTGATCCAAGATCTGACGGTCTTGGTGTTTCTTCCTGCATTCAGAGTGCTCTTGAAGATGCGGGTGTGTCACCTGAAGAGGTACTTGCTTTCTTTCATTAAATCATCTTTCTAGTACCATACTATGCCTTTTCCTAAATAGTGTGTATCTTGGATGCAGATAATTATTAAAACTCTTTAAACAGGTTACATGCTTCCTGTCTATTTCTAGAGCCACATAAATACTATCCGAGCAAAATGAAGCTTCAAAAAAGTCATGGTCATGCATTCATATGTTTGAACGAGGGAAAGATCTAGAAAAAAAGAGTTTCACTGAGATTTTAGAACTAGTTAGAGTACAAGTGTCTCACATTTCTTTACAGAGCCTCTGCAGTCCTAACCTCAGTTATCGGAATATTTGGCCCTTCATTTGCTACCCCATTGAAGCCACCTCCATCTAACCTACCACAACTCTAACCATGCGCCTCCACCAACCATATTGTTACCACCATGCCCACGATCTCAGTTTTCTGCAATCTGGATGGAGTTTTGTAATGTTCTAGCTCAGTAGTCCTCTCAAATTTCAAACGTTAGTTACAAAATACACAGAATTTCTCTGAAGTATTGCAGTATCTCTTTTAGCTCCAATATTATTTTGACAAGAAATCTGGCTCTGATTCTATTGGCAGTTGCAGTCGAATTGCTTTATGGCTGTAGTTGATGTTTTATAGTGTTTGAAAGCAAGCTGACCAAACGATACAGCCATCAGACAAGAAAAGGAGGTGGTGGATTTGGGGGAAGTGGTTGCTTTGGTGGTGAATTAAATGATGTGCTTCGTCCTGCACATCTTTAGCCATTGTTTTTTCTTGGTCCACGTTCTTTTAATTCATCTAGTCTTTCAGAATGAGGCAGAGAAATCCTGAAACAGTGATGGAATTGCTTTATTTAGATTAGAGCAAAATAAGCTGAAAACTAATAGTTTGGGTTGATCCATTGTACATCCACTTAATTTGGTTGCAGTGCGTAGCATTGCTTATCCAGCTTCTAGTTCGTGAACAAGCTTATGTGTAGATATGGTGTTTATGTTTTGCTGATATTGTTCGTAGACTTCTAAGAAGGAAAAGTTTTCCAAAAACCCCATCTTTGGGCATTAAAAGTTGAGAGAAAGGTGAAGGCCTTTGTTTCTAATGTGCAAGGACTAATGGAAAACTGCAAAACTGCCATGTTATGTATTTCAGTGATAACAAACCAGGGAACAAATTGTGAATCACTAGGTCATGATCCAGTCAGCATAGTGTTGTCAAGTGGCTTTGAATCTCTTATTACTGATTCCCCCCACCCTCACCCCAAAAAAAAAAAAAATGATGATAAATCTGTTGCTGCTGTACCTTCCATTGTAAAGCTCTTTTTTACAGCTGGTATTGATGGTGCTATAACTTGGACGCAATCATAATGAAATTTGTGAGATCATGAGTTAATCAATTAAACTTCTCTGTTCTTTGTCAGGTTAACTATATAAATGCCCATGCCACTTCCACTGTAGTTGGCGATCTGGCTGAGGTGAATGCTATTAAAAAGGTATTTAAGAGCACATCAGAGATCAAAATGAATGCAACTAAGGTAATCTCAGTGTCTCTTTTATTTGATTATGTACGTTATGGTTCTGTTTGTATTTCAAACTTTGAGGAGACTATATTGTGATATTGCTTATACTTGTAAAATAACACGTGCATTTATTGATATTGCTTGCTCACACTCTTCAGATTGAAGCTTTCTTCTCACTTGTGTTATTCTGTTCCAGTCTATGATAGGGCATTGCCTTGGTGCTGCTGGGGGTCTGGAAGCTATTGCGACAGTGAAAGCCATTACAACAGGGTGGCTTCATCCTACTATAAATCAATTCGTATGTGCTACTTTGGATTTTCCAGAGAATTGTATATGTTATTGCTCTTAAGTCTATTTTCGATGGTGACACTACTCTGGATAGTTGCAAAGGTTCAAAATGTTTGTTCATAAGTTATTGTCTTTCTGGCAAGCCTTATGCTAGACGCATTGTTTCTTTTTCTCTTTCTTTTATTCTGGGTAAACAAAATGTTATTCATTTTTAACATCATAGTCCCATGGTTTGATCATTTGCATACTTTTTGCACTTTTTAACAAATTCTGTTTGGGGAAATGCAGAATCCAGAGCCTGCGGTTGAGTTTGACACTGTTGCAAACAACAAGCAGCACCATGACGTGAATGTTGGTAAGATGCTTTTTCATTTCCACCCTTTCTCTCCTCCACCCTTTCTCTCCTCATCTCCCCAATACCCCGAACAACTTAATCAGTTGATTGAGTGGTGCAAGTAAGTCCTCTGATTTGAATTTTGTCATGATATGCAGCCATCTCAAACTCATTTGGATTTGGTGGGCACAACTCTGTTGTGGCTTTTTCCGCATTCAAGGCCTGATTGAATTGTCTGCATTTCTTGTAGCTGAGGACCATCTTTACTTATTCGAGGCTTGGTTTAATTTCTCATAGAGGCTGCTTCATCTTCTTTCTGCGAGTTTCTGCTTAGCACTTTGTGCATTTAGAGCTGTTAATTTAATAATTTTGGGTTTAAATTTAGATTAAGGATTCGTTATTTTTGTTTTACGTCGTGCTCTATTGGAACCTCCAGCAAATGGTAGACATGAAATTTATCCAGTTTTGAATTATTTAGTTGATAGAGGGTCCTTGGGGGGTTCAAGAACCTTCAATGGCGTTTGTTGTTGCTACTTGGGCATTTTTTTTTCCATGGGAGTTTATTTTACAATGAAATTTTCAAGTCAAGTTGATTTAATCTATAGCTAATTATACTAACATGACATCTTAATGCTAAAGCCTTTTTGGATGCTGTCCCTATTCATTGTACATTGGATCATAACGTCTTAATTGCTAGAGCCTTTATGGGTGCTTTCATTGTTTTGTAAGTGTCCTCATTTGCACAAGTTAACCTGAACATTTCTTATTGTTAGATTAAAAAAGATGGTGTCTAACCTAAAAATATTGGGGACACATTGATTATGAAGGTTGTGAAGTTAACTATGAGATCTAAGAGCATCTCTATTCCTAATTTAAATTTTTACTAAAATTTAAATTAGTATTTAAGTAAAAAGTTTGATTTGATATAAAGGATTCTAATGGACAAACTCAAATTTAAATGAAATCAAACTTAAATTTAAAATGGAATAAGGATGACTATTGGATCTTTAAAAGATGATAAATCTTACTATTAAAGATTTGAGTAAATATTTGAGTCTCATTTGATTTGAGTAAAAAAATGAGTTTTCCTTGATTTTTGTATAAGTTTGAGTTAAGGGTTAGAGCAAGTTTATTAAATTTTTTTTTCAAATTTAAATTTGAGTCTAAATTTGAGTAAGGGTTGGAGATGCCCTAAAAAGTAGGATGTGTTATATCTTCGTATGCTAAAGTTTGCCCAATCTTAAATCATAGGAAAAAATTCAATTATACTTTTTTTTAGTTTATCATATTTTCAAGAAAACCCCTTCTATTATCAAAAAAATCACTAACATCTCTTCTAATTTTTATTTAAACATCACTAACATCTTTTGTCATTAAACCATTCTTTATAACAAAAATAAATTATCTCAAATACCCAAATTATCATTACATAAACACTAAATAATCTTTCTAAATAAAATTCAATTAAAATTTATTTTTTTACATATTAAAATTCGAGTTGATTAAATTTTTTTTCTACTTATTAAAATTTGAGTTGATTAAAATTTTATTCGAGTTGTTAATTTTTTTTATGTATTAATATTTGAGCCTATTAAATTTTTTTTTTACGTATTAAAATTTGAACACTACTTGAGTTGTTAGTCTCAATTAAAATTCACTTCGAATTGATTAAAATTTATATTTTTTTATTTAATAAAATTAGATTTAAGTTGATTAAAATTTATTTTTTAAGTATTAAAATTTGAGTTTATATTTTTTTTTATGTATCAAAAATCGGGTTGATTAAAATTTAATGTGAATTGATTAAAATTTGATTTGAGCCTTGAATAAAATTTTAATCGATTCAAATTTTTATACGGAAAAAAATATAATTTTTAATCAACTCAAATTTTAATTAATTGAAATCGAATTTTAATCAGCCAGAATTTTAATACGTAAACAAATTTTAAAAAATAGATGATGTTTTATTGAAGATATGTCTATCTAGAGGGGGAGTAAATGAAGTTTTTTTTTAAAATATATCAAGAGTAATTTAGTAAAATTGCATTCTTATTAACACTTTTAATTTGACAAGGGTGTCAGTAAATATTTAAAAAACATAGAGAGCGTGTTTGAATTATATAATAAATTAGAAGGGATCTGACTGAAATTTTTTCTTAAACATAATGGAGAATCTTAATGCATCGAGTGACGGGACTCTGAAGACACCTAGACTTGTCTTCCACTAAATCCCTTTTACCTTCACTGAATTTCCCATTTGAAGTCAACTTTATTAAAATAGTGTCATTTTGTATTAAATTGATGTTATTTTGTTAAATAAAATGATATCTTGTTGTACCAAAATGACGTCGTTTTAATCAATACCGTCTCTGTTGATAAAAATAAACAGCAGAAGATTTGAAACTAATGAAACTAAAGCCTTATTCTGCTCTGTGCAAAGAATGAAATCTTACCCAAAACCGTTTGAAGATCCACAACAATCATCTTTTACACTTACAAGCTCAACTTGGTTACTCGTAACACTATTTATTACACAATTATGAATTACCAACCTCGCCAATCTTTTCACCAAAAGCCTTCCAACGATAACCATCTTCACCTTGCAGAATAATAAAACCCCATTCAACTACCTTTACTTTGGAACTTTTGTCATATTTAAGACATAAGCAATGCTACAGAGACCTTATTTAGAGATCTAATATGAGGATCTAATAATATGATTTCAATGTAACAATTGGATTATTATAGAGTTTGTGGAGAGTAAAAACCTTATCACTTGTGGTAATTTTTACATAATTGTAATGTGGTTTTTGTTGATTTATTGAAGGTTAATGTTTGAGAAAATGGTTATACTACACATAAACAATGCAAATCCTAAAATTTTATAGATTGTCTATACAAGTTGATATTTTCTTAGAGTAATCTTTTTAAGATAAATTATGTCCAAATTTTTTAAAAGAATAAATAAATATTATTTTGACAAAATATTGATGATTTTTTTTGTTTATCAGAACATAGTACATTCAGGCACGAACATTTCTTCTGATGGTAGAAGCTTGAAAATCCCTATAAGTTAAAGTTTGAGTAAATATATATGGGGGTTGAAATTTATGGGTTTTCAATTTTATTTTGTAGGACTATGATTATTAAAATTGAGTTTTCTTAATTTTTTTATTTCTTTATTGAAATTTGTCTTCACAAGAATCTTCATATCAGTAATACTTTGTTGAGCATGTATGCAAAGTGCGGTGTGTTTAAGGTTGTAGTTTAGACTTTCAGTTTAGTGCGTGTCCATGTTCAGTGTTTGATTTTTTTTCATGTGTTACGATTAATGTTAAATTTTTTGGAATTGCACAGTGCTTTTAGAAACTGATTATCATTATATATATATGAAATTAATGTAGATATAATATGTAATTGATAAATATAATATATGTATATATCAAAAAATATATACACAAATAATATACATTTTAACATACATAACTAACTTTCTATTTACTTTTTCTCTCAATTTTGGAGTGATTGATTTTGGTGAGTTAGAAGGAAAACTCATCTATTTATTTTTTCATCCTCTCTATTTTCTTTTCTTACAAAATATGATATTTATATCTATCTCTTCAACTTTTCATCCTTCCAACTTTTTAATGTTCTATTTTTCTATTGTATCAAACGAAGCATTGGGGAATTGTAGGGAGGAGTTCACTTCTCTAAGGCCCATTATATCTCATATCCAGAGCAAAGCCAAGAGATTTGGCTTTTTTTTTTAAGAATAAAACTTTGCTTTTAAAATTTGTTTATTAAATGTTGTATCATAAATAATATATTAAAATCTCATACATTGAATATTTGTTGGAAGTTAGTAGATCTCACTAGTCCAACCACTCACAATGATTTAGGATATAAATTTGGTAAATAATTTGATAAGCACAACATTACTCTTTTTTGAAGTATCCACGATTTACTGTACCAATAATAGAGTAGCAAGTAAGTTAGCTCGATAAATTTATTTTATTGATAATTGTGATGTATGGTTGGAGTAGGCCCTGTACTTATTATGTCTTCCCTTCTTTATGACATTCTCTTTTAAATAAATTAGTTGTTGTACACGTGCGTTATACGTGAACTATTTTGAATTATAGGTTTCAATTTGAATATTTATTTGTATGATTTTATTTTGTTTATTTAACATTGAAACATTTGAATACACGGTGATTATCATATTAAACATGCTTTTAAATAACTGAATAACTAAGTTGCAAAACTCTTGCATATACATGTGAACATTGGCAACAAACAAAGAAAATTTCAACTGTTCTTTTCAATACAACCACCAAAATCTAATACAAAGCTAAATCTATCAAGAAGCAAAAGAATTCTTAACATTAAAAATTCTCATTGCTTGTGATAATGGTGTGTACAGTTCAAAGAAGTGTGACTGAAGGCCAAAAAAATAGTTAAAGCAAGTGTTAGTAAAACTTCATATAATGTGACGTGCAATTGAAAAAGAGTATAGATGACAACTTTCTTAATACTTAAGCACTCATTAAAGTAATTGGATGATGATTTTTCTGTGTAATTTTAAGTTAGTTAAATATTTGACTAATATCTTGAAATAAATATATAGTATAGACTTGCAATAGAGGATGAAGAATTTAGGAGATCCAATAACCATAGTGTACTTGACGAAGTGCCTATATCTATGTTGAGGTCTACCACTAATTATTTTAGGAGGCCTTCAAATATGTGTAAACAATATCTCTCCATGTCTAGCAAACTCAAAAAAACAAAAAAAACAAAAAACCAAAACAAAAAAAAAAAAGGTCAAACGTTTTATACATGAGACAAGCTTTGAATTAGTGAATTTGCATCTAAATTATCTTGCACGTCGAAAAATATTTTGAGGTTTTAATACTTTCCATATCCATAGCCAAATAAGTGAATTTTATAATTAGTGGGAATAATAGTTGTGTATTTAGCCAAGCGCGCATCCAATTAGAAAATGTTTATGCTAAGAAAGTTTGGTGTGTAAATTGAGTTGTAGGCCAAACATTTTGTAGTTGTCATTATTTGTATTTATTGAATCAATAAGAATAAACAACTCAATTTCCACAAAACAATTCTATAAATTAAACCATGGTAATTAGTGTTCGAGAAATTCACATGAATAATTGTAATCACGTAAGATAACACAATATATTATTTAACATTACTACATCACATGTATATCAAACAACCCTTAAGAAGAAGTTAAACAAATAAATAATAAAAAAGGGCCTAGAGAAATTTACTTGGTAATCATAAAGAATGTCATCACTCAAGCTTCTCCGTACCCTGTAAAGCTAAGTCTCAACCGAAAAATGTAACATCAAGCCGGTCAATTTACACAAGAAAAAGGGGTGTGCTCATGCCATCACAAAATTCCTTGATGTAAATTAACACTATAAAAAGGTATAGTAGAACATCAATGTTATATGAATTTAAAAGAAGAAATTAACGACAATAAAGTCTTTGATGCAAAAACGTGATATTGTTGTTTAGTTATAAGCTTTAAAAGCCTATCGATTCTCAGTTGGGTTTTTTATATGCAAATAAAAAGCAAATTACTAATAAATTATTGTCGAAAAGGGGTAACTAAAAAAATGATTTGCATAAAAAAAATTAAATGGTGTTGTACCTTTCTTTTTCCTTCCAAAGTAGTGACACAATGAAATGAAGAAAACATTCAAGATCTGGGCCTTTATTCTAACAAGATGCCTATAACTTTGCATTATCATGACAATTTAGAACATTAATTTAGCAGAAAATAAAACAAATAAACCACCTAATCGAAATCTAGAGCTGGAATGGAAAACCATGCTTTTTTTTTTCTTTTTTCTATAGAGCAAAGCTACAGAATGCTTTTTTCACGTGATGTAGCTAAAAAAAGTGATTTTACTATGTGTTTTAAATATTGTGTCTAAAACCAGTGTCACTTCAATTAGTTCGTTTGATTAGGCCTTCACAAAAGCTTCATTTATCGCTAGTCGAAGCTTAAGCATAATAAATATTGTGTCTAAAACCGGTGTCATTTCAATTAGTTCGTCTGATTAGGCCTTCACAAAAGCTTCATTTATCGCTAGTCGAAGCTTAAGCATAATAATAAGCAAAAGTAACTGAAGATAAAATAAAGATAAAGAAACATTACACATCTAAATGCGAATAGTGATGCCAAAAAAAAATAAAGGAAAGAAAATACAAACAGAGGGGTTGTACGAAAGTTCAACTATTTCACCCGCGTCGTTCTATAGATCTCAAAAATGAGGCTAAGTGATTATATAAGTGAATTGAACACGTAGAATTTCAAGTTACAGTTTATTATTTAGGAAGCTCAGTGTATATACCTAAGCTACCAGCCAAATATCCCAAACGACTTTATTTCTAATGCCAAATATGTGAATTTGAACTCAAAGCATATGCTTAATTAAAAAAAAACTCAAGGCATATACATAACATAATCACACATATAATGGACCAAGACCTTGAAACTCAATGAGACACCTAATTTATGTGTATTTCAAAAATGAAAATAACAATCACAATGAAAGTATTGTCGTACAAGAGTGCAATACTTTATGTAGTTGTGTATATTTCACTGATTGCAAATGCAATTTTTATGAAAGAACTTGAAATGCATAACCTTGAAAATATTTTTAAAACATAACAATTGAGAAACAAATACAAAATACTAAAATAAGAAACACAAAATTGAATGAAGTAAACAAAGGTACATTGTAAAGAGTAACAGTGTGATAAGGATAATTTCACCAATTTTTTTGTTCTTGCAGGAAGAGAAGGAAGAATGTAATTTGAAGGTTCACAGCTACTACTATAAGTGTGTGATTGTGCAATTGGCTGGTTGAGGAGTATTGAATCCCATGACCACCTGGTGAATATGAGAATAGTCCTATGAAGAAACAGTATGTGGGAGCAGTCGCATAATTAACCATGGAATATGATATAAAAAATTGACACATAAATCTAAAATATTTGGTAATGATTCTTGTTGAACATCAGAATTTTTTAGCTAAAGGTTAGTACAAATTTGTTGGTGATGGGTGCACGTTAGGTGCAAAATTTTTTCCATAAGCTATTTATTCATGACCTAAGCCATTGAAAGAGTCTCCAAGCTCATTTGTTACATTTTGGATGTGCTCTCATAGCCATGGTTTAAAAAAAAAAAAATCAACCAAGACTTGCATGGGATCACAAACATCTCGGTCATACTCTAGTAGCAGGTGGTGTTTAAAGTTAGCAAACGGTTTATACACATGTTATGAGTGGTTACTTCAAGACAAATCTGCCCATCAAATTGTGGGATAAAAGGAAGCCCCACTACCTAAAAATCTGTTACTAGTAGAAGTTAAAAACAGTTGGCATATCATGAGAGAACCACCAATCACTCATGCAGCTTGACACCTAGCCCACTAAAGTCTTATATCAGCTAATGTTTTCCCTTTAAGAAAAAGCAAACAGAAAGGAGGAAAAACAAAACGGTGAACAAAAGCAAGAAAATAAGGTGGTTAACAAAGAAAAGAGAAAAGGAAGGAAGACAGCAAAAACAAAAAAAAAAAAAAAAATTCGAAGCTTCTGTTCAGGTAAAAAAATTATGTTTACTCTTTCTTGATGATTTAATCTTCTAATTTTTTTTATGGCAGCAAATGTGTTCAAAGCCACTTCAGCTCGAAACAGTTGTGCCAACTCTGAATCATTCAAGCTACGTATTTGAGGAGTTTTCAACTCCTAAAGTTCTCTTGAAGCAAGAGATTATAATTAATGGATATATGCTATCTTGAATGGATTCAACCTATATTAATAAAACTCGTATAATTCATCGTTATATGAATGAAGTCGTGTTTGACAAAATATTCAAATTTTTGTCCAACAGTTCCTTGAGAATTTCTCAATCAATATCCTATTACAGTGTTTTTTTTATACAGATAACCATCTGCATAATAAAAAATTATATCATCCCAAAATAATAAAATTCATTGATTATATAACCAAACTACATATAACAGATATAAAGAAGGCAGAGAAGCTCACGCAAGTATTGAGTTGCTGATGCAGTTGGATAAGTTCTGATCCCAAAAAAAAAAAAAAATCTGTTCACCTGGTTATTCTCATCAAATTTATTTGATCATTTTAGATGGCAATCCTTATCTATGGTTTTCAAGATATGGAAAACCAACGACCGGCTATAGCCAACAAACAAGTTGACAAAATCAGTTGCAAAATGAGAATTGAGAGAGAGAGAGAAAACATATTGAATAACCTTGGAATAGAGAAAATGTAGAACACTCACTGTTACAGGATCATGGTTATTTGCCATATGGATTGCTTGTGTTGTTTCTCTACAAATTCCTAGCTGCCCATCCGCCAAACCGTAAATGGTAGTGGGAGAGATGTGGCGTCTAAGGTTTGTATTGAAGGTGAGTGTTCATTGGGGTGTTTTGCGTTGTACATAAAAATTGAGAATTTTTAGAGCCTCTCAGAGAGCATTAAAATAGAGTATTAACCGTGATTTAAATTTAGATTCAAATTTGAGTAAAAAGTTTGATTTGGTATAAAGAATTATAATAGGCAAACTTAAATATATACTCAAATATTTTAAAAAAATCTCTTATTTTTCCAAAACTCATTTTGTTTTTTTTGTCATTCAAATCATTATATTTGATAAAATAAATAAAACTTTCATATCTCTCCATAAATAGGTAATTCAAAAAAAAAAAAAATGAATTTATACAACACTACATGGGAATAAAGAAACCACTCCATAATTCTAAGATTGTTAAAATCTATTATCATTTTTTATAAATCCAAATAAAGAAAAAAAATAAAAAAAAATATAACTATTTTGACAAAAGTCTGATTTCTAAAACACAAAAATATACGTTTTTAACAAAAATGGAAGATTAAATAAATAAAATGACAAATTTTTAAATTTGTGGGTAGCGAAGACTTAAAATTTCAGAAAGAATCGGTAGTCTAAAATTGTATTGTCGATAGTGTTTAACTCAAAAAAATCAAAGAAAAATTTGATTCATAGACTTAGGGTTTATATTGTATGAAAGATGGATGAGATTAAGGTTTTGAAAAATACAAAAAATCAAGAAGATGAAAGATGAAAAGGAAAAAACTTACCTACAAGCCTTCAAATGATTTGTAAAAGTTTTGGTGGTGGTTGGCGATAGAGTCTTTTAGTTTTAAACAGGTTAAAAAGTTATCGTTAGAAATTTGGTATAGAATTTAAGTCTGCTTCAATTTGAGTCCAAAATCATTGACAAAAAATTGTGAAATTATGTTCACTAATTCATACATAATTTAAATTGTATGTATACAATAATGTAATATCCAAATATATTGCTTTTCAATGGTAGTATTGCATCACGGTGTAACATTGCAAAGTGATACTGTTATTAAATCATTGACAAAAAATTGTGAAATTATGTTCACTAATTCATACATAATTTAAATTTTATGTATACAATAATGTAATATCCAAATATATTGCTTTTCAATGGTAGTATTGCATCACAGTGTAACATTGCAAAGTGATACTGTTATTAAATTTGAGAACAAGCAGAGCTATTTAACATTAAAAAATAATATAAAAAATAATATTTAAAATCTGGGTCAAATCATTAAGGTATATTCCTTGTGATATAATTTTGAATTTTAAATATATTCAATATCTTAAAAATATGAAACCACTAATATAATAAATCAAATCTCATAAAATATGAGACTGCCAAACTAAGAGGATTTCAAATAAAGAAAATGAGTACTTAACTACAATACATTTCAATATATTATCAACAAAAGATTTTAGTCAACGTATTTTCTTAAAATTAAGTAGTTTTAAAGGTATTTACTCACAATTTTTCAATTATTTTATTGTTGGTAAAATTTTTGTCGTTAAAACTTTTATAGACAATTTTTATTGTGGTCAAGTAATAAAGTAATTTTGTTGCCAATCGTAAAAATTTTATGATGAATATTATTGTCTTTAAAAAATGACTAATGAGCAATAAATTTTTTGTCATTAAATAGCAATTGCAAAGACGGCCAAACTGTTCACGCTCCTCGCACGTTGCAAATCTAATGAATTTCTTGTAAATCACGATCCAGGGAATATCGAAAATTCATTGTAAATCTAATCAATTTTTTTCTCTACTTCACTTCATAAACTGTTATTTGCGTTGTGCATATATTTTATATTTTTTAGTTAAATTATTGGGTAAAATATAATGTTGGTTTTTGAAATATCAGTCCCTAAGGTTTTTAATTTGTATCTACTTAGTTCAATCTCAAATGTCTGTTAGAATATTAGTATCGACTTTGATCACGCATCAATCATATGGGATTAAATAGATACAAATTAAAAATTTTAGGAACTAAATAGATACAAAATTAGAAACCACGTGATTGACATGTGATTAGAACCGTTACAATTTTCTGACGGACGTTTGGAATTGAACCACGTAAATATAAATTAGGAATCTTAGAGACCAAATAAACAAGTAAACACATACTTTGCCAATCAATAGTGTATTTTACCCTAAATTATTATTTTTTGTAATTTTTAATTTTGTTATCATACAATCTGTCATTAGTTTACCGAATAATTGAACCTAATAAACCATTGATTTGATCCCTTTGTCATTCCATGTCGAGTCTGGTTATGTTAACTGTGCCCTCCACTGTTATATATATCCATCCATCCTTCTCTTTAAACTCGCTAACTCTTCCCCCAACTCTTGACAAGAGAGAGGGAGAGGCCGTTTGGGCTATTGTCTCAGTATGCGCCCCATACCTTGTCTCTCTCTTAGCTTTGCTAGTATGCCTGGAACAGATTTCTTACTTGAAGAAAAAAAGGAACATCCCAGGCCCAAATCTGGTCTTCCCATTCATCGGCAACGCAATTTCCTTCGTCCTCAACACCACAAAATTCTGGGAGCTCCAATCTGCCAATGCCAAGTCCTCCTGCTCCGGCTTCTCCGCCAACTACATATTCGGCCACTTCATGATTTTCATCAGCTCCAGCGACCTCACCCTCAAAGTCCTTGCCAACGTCAGACCCGACGCCTTCCAGCTTGTCGCCCAACCAATCGGCAAAAAACTCTTGGGCGATCGCAACCTCATCTACTTGGTCGGTCAGGAACACAAAGACCTCCGTCGCCGAGTCATCCCAAACTTCACCCCGAGACCTCTCTCCACTTACATTTCAATCCAACAAATCAACATCCTCAAGCACTTGAAATCATGGGTACATTTACAATCATCAAGGACCCCCACAAAACCAATCCCTCTGAGAAGCCTCGTTCCAGATATGAATCTCGAAATCTCCCAGGCAGTGTTCGTTGGTCCTTACTTAAGCGAAGAAGCAGTGAGACAAAGATTCAATGAAGACTTTAATTTGTTTAACGCTGGCATGATCAACCTTCCAAACGATTTTTCTGGATTCGCTTTTTGGTACGCCAGGCTCGGGGCCCAAAGGCTTCTCCAAACTCTAGCAACATGCGTAAGGGAAAGCAGAACGCGAATGATGAATAATGACGGTTTTAAGCCAACCTGTATGTTAGATTTTTTTATTATACAAGAAAACATCAGAGAAATCGCAGCCGCCAAACAAGCCGCTGTTCCTCCTCCTCCTCACTCTAGCGGGAGTGATGAAGAAGTTAGTCAACTTTTGTTGGATTTCGTCTTTGCCGCCCTGGACACTAACACTTCGTCACTGCTCTGGGCAGTGACTCTTTTGGATTCACATCCTGAGGTCTTGGCAAGAGTGCGTGAGGAGGTCGCCGGTGTCTGATCGCCGGAGTCGGACACACCCATCACCCCTGAACAGCTTAGCAAAATGCGGTTCACAAAAGCAGTGGCGAAGGAGGTAATAAGGTTCCGACCTCCGGGGACTCTGATCCCACACATTACTGTAGGGGACTTCCAGTTAACAGAAAACTACACGATTCCCAAGGGCACTATTGTTTTTCCATCGGTTCTTGAGAGTTCGCTTCAGGGATTTGTTGAACCGCACCGGTTTGACCCGGACCGGTTCATGGAGGAGAGGCAGGAAGATCGGGTTTATAAGAAGAATTATTTGATGTTCGGAATTGGGGCCCACCAGTGTCTGGGACAGAGTTATGCCATCAACCACTTGGTGCTCTTCATCGCCATTTTTACCTCGTTGATTAATTTCAAGAGGCACCGGACGGACGGTTGTGATGATCTTATGTATGTCCCCACAATTATTCCGAAAGACTATTGCAAAGTTTTTTTTTTCCAAGAGGTGCAGCCGATTTCCATCTCTTTTGGGACGAACTTACTAGTTTTATATGCAGGAAGTAAGAAATTATTTGTACATGTAAGCACGGAGAAATTATTTGTACATGTAAGCACGGTGTAAAATAAAAAATATCTTACGATCAACCAAAATATGAGCATATATTAAAATTGTTTATAGTATATTCTAAAATCAATCATAAAGATGATGTTTTAAAATTGTACTAGTAACATTCGTTACTTAATCAAATAAAAATATAAGTTTATTTATCATGTTTTTACTTTATTTTATTTTAATATACATAATATCTTCCATAAAACATAAGTTAAGAAGATGATTTTTCAAGGGGTTGAGAAGAGAATATATTTACTTCTTAGTATTTAACTCTTAAATGTTCTTAGTCATATGATTACTATGTGGACACTATATAATCTAGATAGATTAGCATACATTATGTTTGTTCATATTTAATATGAGATTACTCGTCCAAATCATTAGTATAGGAACACTAAAGCAAGTGTGTGGGTGTTTGCTAAAGAACAAATACATTAAATATGACCATTAACGAACAAATGATTTTTTATATGGAGTTTTATATACATGTCAAAGTTAAATCTTAGAGTTGTAGTTATGCAATTAATCCTTAGATTTGAGACACCATGACTGTCTTTTGTATGGATTTCTATACTTTAACTATATAGCATAGTCATATACTAATCATGTAACATGAATATGTATTTTTGGACATAATTCGACATACATGGAGACTTATGAGTGTACAACATGTAATCTATCACCCTTAGTAAATAAATGGAGACTACATTATGTGATCTTTTAGGATATGACTCAAGGAGTCCTTGGCCAAGACAGAATGACAATTAGAAATAGTTTCTAATTGATTATTAGGAGTCATAGCCCAAAGATCGAACACATAAGATTGAGTTAAAAGTTTCCAGTAATTCCTTACCCTAATAATTTAATTGGGTTATTATGTGATAGAAGAATTGAATTGCATGAAACTGTAGACTGAAAGAGTTTTTTACTTACTTTGTTCTATCTGAAGGTTGATCGTGATATGTTGCTAGGTGTCACTCCTAATTAGTAGAAGTCCGAAGAATAAAATTAATATAATTATATTAATTGTTCTTCATAAATGGACAATTAAAAAGGGTTTAAATTAGAAAGAATTCTAATTTGATATGCTACTTGGAGTTAGTCTCAAATGCCTGCAATTGAATATATTTGAACCTATAGGGTCACATACAATAGAATTGATTGAAAACTAAAGGATAAATAAGAGAAAATCAATTAAGAGTTAATTGGGTTGAAAATATAATTAAGAGTTAATTAGGGATTTTATTAAAATTAATGGTTAATACAAGAGGTATATGTAATTATGAGATAATTGCAACTAGACCCAAATTAAGATTATAGTCTTCTAAGGCTCTATAAATATCTTTATATAGGAAGTAGATATATGAGATAACAACTCTCTTGCTAGGACAAGAAAAATCTATCCATCATTCTCTCTCTCTACTAGTTTATTAAAAGTTGAGGTAAATCTTTTAAGTTTATAAATTCGTATGGATACTGATAGAGATCAAATAGTTGTGAGACTTAGGGTAAAGATTTAATTCATATGTGAAGATTAAAAATTCTTTGAGAAAACTTAAAGGTTGTTAAAAGCGCGCTTCAAAAGGTGACCCTTAATCTTCTCTAAAGAAATAAGGTTTCTCGGTTTGTATTAAACATTAATAAATCTTGAAATGAGGAATCAATACTTATTTTTAAATTCCGTTGCATTTATTATATGATTCCTTTCAACAATAAACTGTGTTGTGTGATATATTATTTAGCTCACAATAATTCGTCCAAAAATGGAGAAATCTGTGTCTCTTTGCTATTAAAAGTGCAATTTTCGTTGGTGACCGAGTCTCATTTAAAATAAAAAAAAAAAAATTAAACCTCGCCAATGAGAGGGCATCCTTAATTCAATACCAATAATAATTAGGTAGGGGCATAGGACCTAACCCTTTTATTTAATCAAAATACATTGAAAATTTTAAGAAAAATACTGAATTAATAAAAAAATTTCCTGGAAAATAGCAAAATATAGTCCTCTACTAATTCAAAATGCCCTTAAAACTCATTTTGCAATGGATACTAGAGATTTTTTTTCTCACCTCACCTAGTAAACCAAGAACCCCACCATAATTGCAATGTTAAAATCAAGCATTTTAATCACTGCCCAACCAAGAGATCTTAAAAATTTTGAAATAGCCTTACTATTGACCTTCTTACCCATTATAGTCGAAAATGTTTCAAGAAGACTTGCATTGCATCTGGCTAAGAGGAAGAGAAATAGTATTAGTCTTTTGTAAAAATGCCCCAACCACAATCCGACCAAGAAAACCTCCTTTCTTGATTTCGATCTCAGCCCTAAATAGGGTATCGATCGTTCATCGGCCTTTAAACGACCTATCTGTTACATTTTTATTCAGAATCTCATCAGGTTATTTTTCTACACGCCCTAACTCTCGTAAACTCAGAGAAACCATGACCGATCACCGTTGATAAAGAAGAATCTTTCTAAATCACTTCGAGTCAGCAGGGCTTTCAAGCATTCAACATACACAGGAGTTGCAAATGACATATAGTTCCTAATAGAAAATGACAGATAGTCTTTGAAGTGGTACCCTTCCTTGAAATATTCAGTCATGCAATACTTATTGAATATGAAAGATCACACTACGATATTCCTTGGGTTGATGTTGAACAAAGCACCATTTCCATTATACGCTAATATATACAATTGCTTCTAGCCCCTCTTTAAATAATTAGTTGAATAGAAAAACACTGCTATATAATAGAAAATTTATGGACAGAGTACATAGTTCTTGCCAGTTCAAGATGCTTCTTGTTTAAGATTATTCTATCTTTGGTATTATTCGGTCGTACACAGAGAGAATAAAAAGAGACTTACCTAACTTTTGGTTGTATCGCAACATTGAAATTCTCACTATGTGTGAAATATTTGTCAACACTTGTCTATTCTCATTATCAAGTAAGCTCATACTGCACACGAAAAAAAAAAACAAGATATGTTGTAGAATATGTACCTTTGTCATTTCTTCCTCTCATTCCTGCATGGTAGATTCTTATAACTCAACCCTCACGACATGTAAGGGATTGTTTCCAGCAAAACTACCACCTCATCCTAGCACCAACCCATAAACACATCAAATGCCTATTAAATTCAACCAAAACACTCAACTGTATACCAAATAAAGATGTCGTTCCAAGAAACCAAATCCCTTTCAGGCATTTCCTCAAACATCTTGTGAGCAAGGTCAAACTTAAGAATGTAAGATTCACCGTATGGAGTTCATTTAGGGGTTGATCTATGATGAGATGTTGGAGGCCATCCCACTAGAAACTGACATGTGGTTACCTAGGGCGATCGAAAAGCATGGGATTCCCATGGTAACTAAGACTAACCATCTTAACTTAGAGGTAGCCCTCAGGGGATCCCATGGCCCTAACTTTTGCTCATAAATGCTCAGTAGTAGGATACATACATTTAATTAAAGCACTCGATGGTCAGGAATGGGGTCATAAATGCATGATCCATTCCAGCATGCAAACCTGGACGTCCAATCACCCAACATTAATGAGGTATGAAAGAATATCACTTATTATGCTAGGCGATGAGCACAAACTACTAAAGTCAAGGATTGGGATCTAGATGGGAGAGACATCATTTTTATCCAAGGTATAAATACTCCATCATAATAGAACCCAGGTACACAAACATGAATAGCTCTACACCGTACACACCCTTATACTTAAGCACCGACTAACTTTAGCATCGGAGAGGGCAAACCAAGTTTGCAACCGACCCCTTTTTTCGAAGACGTTATCCGTTTCAAACTCGATCATCTAGCTCACCCAGAGAGTTGTTATCTTAATCCATTGTAAGAAAATTTCGATGCAATACATTTACATATATGTATTAGCTAGGGAAGGGAATTTCTGGTGGGGGAGAGAAAGGGCAGATTTTGGCAGAAAAAAAGAGGTAGAGAGAGACAGTTACTTGAGACTTGGAGAAAGAGTAGTGTTGCCATCATGTTGGGAGGTTGCCGACATCGTGTGTAGACAAACAGCAGGAAAGAGAGATGGGGGCGAGAGACAGTTATGAGAGAGAATGATAAAAGCAGAGAGAGAAACTGTAAAAGAGAAAAAGAAAGCGGAGGAAAAGGATGAGGCAGAGAGAACGATATGGAGGAAAGGGAATACGCATGGGAGGTTCTCCAAGAGAGAAAATGCGTGATTGAAGGGTTGAATAAGGTAAGTTTTAGGTGGGAACTCAACTTTTTGGGAATAATTTTTAGTCATTGGATTAAAATAGACAAAATTTTGAGACGGTCTGAACCGTGAAAAACCTTGATATAAGTTTATGTATTGGGGTATTTGAATTGCCTTGTCACTTAACTTGTGTCTGAAGGTACTATATAATAAAAAAAATCTCAAGCAATTACCATACATGAAAGCTTTGTATAACAAAAAATCATAGGTGACAATAAATGAAAAAGACAGATGACTTATCAATAAACCAAGTCCTCACAATATACAAACTATACCAAATGGCCAAGTATTTCCATTTTCTACATATTATGGAATAATGCATTACTCAATAAAAAAACACAAAGGAAAAAGACACATATAACTTCCATCTTTAATCTATTTCAAAGAGCAAATGCACCCTAACAATGAAAAATTTAGGAATCCAAAGACTGAAACCTCCCAAAACTCACTAGTTTGTTGCCCAAAAAAAAAAATAATAATAAATATGTGCCCAAAAAAGAGCATAAATACAAAGTGCACATTATACTTGAGAGGAAGTTCCATCCTTGAAGCATTTGATAAACAAAAATCCCCCATGAAGGAAAGTTAAAAATTATTTGTTTGTAAAATACATCTAAAACCTTGGCATCAATTGATTTAAGTTCAACAATAAAATTCTTGCAAAAACTTTTCAAGTGGAGTACATAACATTTCTCATCAT